GTGCATCAGAAGAAACAGCCGGCAGTGAAAGAGAGGCTGAAGTGGAAAAAAAATAATAAAGGGCGCAAAGGGCTTGAACGGAAAGACAGGGGAGAGAAAAGGGTGGAGGGGAAAGAGGATGACGGGAAGGGTAAAGAGAAAGCGGAATCATCGAAGTCCGGAGAGAAAAGCAATAAGACGCTGGATGACAAGGATGTACTCGTGGATGATAAGGTAGAAGAGAAGGATTCGAAAGAGGTGGGAGAGAAAGTCGAGCAGACAAAGTCGAACCAAGAAGTAGTAGAGGAGAAGGAGAAAGGGAAAGGGATGGAAGAGGTGGATGGTCAGGCTCAGGGCCTTATGGAACTAGTGAAGAATCTAGATCCGGAGGCTCTGGGGTTCAATTTTGTAGCTACAGACCCTCTCCCACAGGATCAACCTTCCCCTCCGGAGCAGGAAGTGATTCCTGAAAATTCTGAGGGTAAAGCAGTGAATACAGAGGGCGACCCCTCCCAGGAAAATGGCGATCCCCTGGATGGAGAAAAAATCGACCTGCTGTTTAAGGCGATTGATGCGTCCAGAAAGGGGGACTCCAAGACTGGAAAAAGGAAGAAGAAGAGCGCTCCGAAAGGACAGGAGGGGCAGAACAATGGAAAACGGGGATTTGGTTCATCTCTTTCCAAGCCGGGTCCGGCCAAAAAAAGCAGACTGGAGGATGGCTCCAGCCTTTACCGAAGGTATTTTGATGCAGATCAGGCAACGGAGGAAGAGGAAACGGTTCCACAGACCGCTGTTGGTAAGAGATCATTGAGAAACAGAGCTTCCAATGTGGATTTCAGTTTTCAGCGCCGATGCAGACGCTGGATCGTAAGGACAAGGCGCGCAAGATGGTGAAACAGTACTTAATCCCTCTGATCTGTACTACCACCCAGTTGGGACTGTGCGTTTTGACTACACAAGCAAGTGACGAAGTGTTGGAGCTCCCAGTAATACCAGTGCTAACCCAACCTACGGAGGAGCAGGCAGTTAGTTTATCCCAGTCTCGCATCCTGAAAGGGATGGGAACGGTATCTCTCCTACGGGAGCCCCGGATGGGCAGGCACCTGGTTATAACACAAGAAGAAGGGAAAAAGATCCTACACTTTGCATTTCTGAGTTAAATTTCGTTGGAAGGCACCAGAGAACAGTGGTATCAGATACAGCCACATTGGGTCTCGATAGCCCCCTTCTTTTCTGCAGATATGGAGGTACTTAAAAAAATCAGAATGGGCGGTAACCTCAATGCCCAGCAAGTTGCAGAATGGTTGAACCGGACGGACGCTGAACAACAAATACCCTCGAGTGGCCCGGTCCTCCATGATTGGGCCACAGACTCCTGTACAGGGGAGAAGTCTGACGAAGAGTTGGTAATGAAAGAAGAGGCCTCAGACACCCGCATCCAAAGTGTAAGCGGCAAGGACCAACCTGATGGTCTTGCCCAACAGAGTTAGAATCTTAACGTGGAATGTCAGAGGCATGGGGGATACAGCAAATAGAAATAAAAAGGCCAGTTTGGCTGCTTTCTTGCATTCGGAAGTTGTACACATCGCTTGTTTACAGGAAACCAAGCTCAATTTAGAAAAAATTGAGGAGGCTAGGAGCTGGTGGAAGGGGCCCCAGTTTTGGGCCCCTGCGGAAGGATCGAAGGGAGGAGTGGCGATTCTCATTAATAAAGATTTAGATGTAGAAGTTATTGATCATTTTGTTGATCCCATGGGAAGAGTGGCCTGGGTTAAACTAGCAGTGGAGGAAGAAGATTGGGCTATTATGTCGATTTATGCTCCAGTTGAGTATAAGGAAAGGACCAACTTTTTTGCTTTACTTCCCTCGTGGATTCCTGACGTAGAAAACCTGGTAACGGCCGGGGACTGGAATACTATTTTTAACCCGGGTCTGGACTCTCCTAACTCATCCCCGATTAGAGAAGATATGTTGATGCTTGCCTCACTAAAGGAGGCCCAGAGTCTTCACGATGTGTATAGAGTGCTTAATCCGGAGTCCAGCGGCKATACGTGGCTTGGTCCACGGCCCTCCTCTTCGGCCCCACAGCCCAAAAGAAGGCTTGATTTTTTCTTGGCTAGGGGCACCGTATGGGATAGGTGCATGTGGAGTGACWCATTGGTTTCATTCCTGTCTGACCACGCGCCGGTGGCCATGGATGTTATTGCTAAACACCAAGTAGAGAAGGTCCATCCCCCTTTTCGTTTAAATGTGAACCACCYAAAAGAAACAGGAATTTTGGAATGGGTGGAGATGCAGATGAAGGGTTGGATGGGTGCAAAAGACTTGTTTGAGCAGGAGGGTCTTTGGGCTGAGGTGGGTATGGGAATTATCACTGCAGCATTAGAAACCTTCTCGAGRATGCGGGCCGCTAACAGAAGTTGGGAAGAAAAAAAAGCCCAACAAGCGGTGAAGGAAGCAGAAGCGAAAATGGGGGGTGACCAATTTGCTGAGTATTATTGGACAGAACAGAGAAAAAAGCATCTAGCCACACTGGAAAGACTGGAGTCAAGAAAACAAGGGGAGTGGTTAGAATGGTTGAAGATAAGGGGGGTAGTGGGATATGATCGTATGACAAAGCTTACCTTTAGAAGCCTTCTCCTAAAGCAAGCTAAGCCATTAGTAAGGGAGTTGATCCACCCCTTTAACATTAACTCCCCAATAGCTACCAGCACTTAGGATATGTCATCCTATGCAAAAGCCTATTTTGAAGACATTGTGACTACAAGACGGCCCTTCGACACATCAGAAACAGACCTAACGCTCACCTCCCCCTTTTGGGAGGGCCTGCAGGGGTGTATTTCCCGAGAGGGTAGAGATCTATTGGATGCTCCCTTCACTACCCTGGAATTGCACAAGGCGGTTAAACAGTTGGCTAAGAGCAAATGCCCTGGGTTAGATGGACTGCCTGTGGAACTTTTTTTGTGTACCTGGGAGGCTTTTGCACCGTTTCTATGTCAAGTTTTCAATAATAGTCGGGCAAGGGGTAGCTTGCCTAGAAGCTGGTTGTCCGGAGCTATCTCCCTTTATATAAGAAAGGAGGCAAGAGGGAGGTCAGAAATTATAGACCGATTTCGGTCTTGAATGTGGTTTATAAAATACTGGCAAAGGCTCTGGCATCCAGACTAGCGGACTACCTCCCAAACCTGGTGGGGAGAGAACAGGGCGCCTTTGTTAAAGGCAGGTCTATATTTGATAATATTATGGCCACAATGCAAGCCTTGGAGGTCATTGGCAGAGAGCATAAGGAGGTGACGGTTTTACGAGTTGATATGGAAAAAGCTTACGATAAGGTCGGGTGGGCCTTTGTTTTCACTACGTTGAGAAAAATGGGGTTTGGAGAAGGCTTCAACAGCTGGGTTAAAGCAATGTATACAGAGGCTTCCTCAGTGGTTGTGGTGAATGGTAAGGTTTCTTCAGAGTTTCCACTGTCTAGGTCACTAAGGCAAGGGTGCCCCCTAGCACCTTTAATGTTTGTTGTTCAGTTAGAAGTTTTGCTGTTTAATATTAGGAGTAACCCTAGGATTGTAGGACTGCACCTCCCTCCAAGGATTCATTGGAAGGGAGGTGCTATTGCCGACGATTTAACGGTTGCATGTGTTAACAAAAGAGATGCCTTAGATGAGCTAAAGAAGGTTTTGGATCAGTACTGCGAGCTCTCTGAGGCTTCGATTAACTGGGATAAATCGGTGTATTTTTTACCGCAGTCCTACACATTGGAGGTAGACTGGGGACTCCACCGAATCCCTGCAGACACATCAGATCGCTTTTCAGGGATTCAGGTGTCACTTTTGGACTGCTCTTCCACTCAGGATGGAATTCTGTCTGATAAGGTGGTGGCTAGGATCAATGGTTGGGTGAGGAATCACCAATTATCCTTGTTTGGCAGGGCATTGGTTATCAATTCAGCGGCCTTTTTCGTACTTTGGTTCCCCTTGTCAGTCCATATGCTAGGGGAGGAGGCCTATAAGGCAATCAAGCGGGCGGCAGCCAGATATTTGTGGAAGCCATTGGCGTCTGAACACCAAGGCTTCATCATTAAGGCCGCCTGGGACCTGATATGCTGTGCAAGGGATAAAGGTGGCCTTGGGATCTTGGATCCCATGCATCAAAACATAGCACTTTTGGCAAAATGGCCAATAGCGGCCATGTTCAGTGAGGAAGAAAAGGGTTGGCTGCAGCTGGCCGAATACATCGTGATGGAAGAATGGTCCTTGCAACAAGGTTCCCACGTTTGGTTGTGTTTTATGATACCATCATTTTGTCAACGGAGATTAAAATCAAGAATATGGGACAACATACTGTTGGCATGGAACAAAGCCCGTCCCATCCTGATGGATGAACCAATCTCAAGGGGCGAAATTTTAAACCAGATATTATTCGAAAACAGATTCATCAAGGAGGATGGGACCGAGGAACTGAGAGCAGATGGAAGCCCAGGCTCATTTGGTAGAGCCTGGGTGGAACATGGGGTCATACAGTTAAAGGATTTGTGGGATGAGGAGTCTGCGGACTGGCTTCAGGTGGACAGGCTAAAAAGGAAACTACCGAGGCTCCGACAGGTCGAGCGGAACTACGACAGGGTGAAGCTAGCTACTCCCGGTCATTGGGTCAGTGCACTTCAAAAAGGGAGGGAGCTGAATGTCGGTAGCTGGGTGGAGGATCCGGACAACATTAACCAAGTTTGGAAAATTATAGGTCCTGATTTAAGCTCGGGTATCAAAATCCAGAAATGGAGAAGAGGGAGGGGGAGAGAGAGTAAAAAGTTAACATGGGAAGAGGAGGGTAGGGTGGACTCCACTATAGGACTGAAGGAAGTGAGAGTTTATGAACAGTTTACTCTTAAGGGCTCGTCCTGTCAGTTGATAATGTCTCCGCAGTCGAAGTTAGTAGTGGAACCTGTGTTGTTTGGTTGGAAAACGAGTTCTAATTTGAAAGGAACCCCAGTTTGTCAGTATAGGGCGAAAACTGGTGTCTTGCAGCTGCAGGACAAGGTCAAGAAGAACCCTGGTATGACTGCTAGGAGTCGCTTGACTCAGCTCCAAATAACTACAGTTGAGGACTCAGACCTGTTGAATCTTTGGAAAGCCCTCAAAGATATGCCATCCCAAAGACAGGCGGCAATACAGTGGTTACATTCTCTGCAGATCACCCCTACAACAACGTGGTTGCTGTCTCTTATACACATCTAGATGTGTATAAGAGACAGCTACGAAGTAGTATAGTTCTTTTCTTTAGTATATAGTCTCAGCAGTACTTGTGTCCGTCAAACCGACATCAGACCCCTGATGAGCCTAGTTCGGCGGCTAGGCGAAACCGGTCGGGTCATACGCCTGCGGTTATTCCGCACTGTGGACTTCCTGTCTCTTATACACATCTAGATGTGTATAAGAGACAGGTTTAATCCAACCCCCTTTGCTAGTGGGACGTTGCCCCGGGCAGTTCTCTATGACAATATACGGTAACAACCCAAAAAAAAAAAAAAAAAAAAAAAAAAAAAACAACCGTCGTCTTCCACCGAATAGAACCGACCGAGGGTCAATAGGAAAAAAAAAATCCTCACCCCCCCCCTTTTCCCCCCACCCGCCCCACCCAACCCCCCCCCCCCCCCCCCAAAAAAAAAAAAAAAAAAAAAAAAAAAAAAAAAAAAAAAAAAAAAAAAAACTTCTCCTGAAAAAAAAAAAGAAAAGAACAAAAACAACAGAACCACCACGAGTAGGGACATAACGTTGTGCGGGCGCCCGTTGAAAGTGGCACGTGCCCCGTTTCTGGAGACGGGAGGTCTCCGGGCAAACGATGCAGGCGCCTTGTGCAATGGAAGCCTGCTCTTCTCATCGTATGCTTTTCTGTTTCATTTCCCTTACTGCATCTGCCCGGGTTTTGACTACAGGTACATGCGCGCGGGAAAACGAGGACTGCCCTGCCTTGTTGGCAAGGCTTACTAAGATAAGAAAAAGAAAATAAAAATAGAAAAATGGTGCTTACCTGCTCGCCCCCAAGAGGAACGAGAACTCTGTTGGTAGCCAGCTCTGTTGGTAGCTCCCTGAATCCTCGGCTTGAACATGTACAGATTTTTTGTCTTTTCTGCACGGGAGTAGTAGTGGAGAGAGGCCCTCAGTCTCTCTCTTGACCACTCTCTACATGCACAAAAGACAATATGGCAATGTATCTTTCCATTTTCTCATAGAGGATTCAATCTCATTATGCACATTTGGAGTACCTGTCTCTTATACACATCTAGATGTGTATAAGAGACAGGTTCCACAGACCGCTGTTGGTAAGAGATCATTGAGAAACAGAGCTTCCA